GAGCTCACAAACACCAACGAAATATTTGTTGTTGTACTTAACAAAGGGGTTTGGCACTAAAAACAATGAAACGTTTATAGGCTTAACGTTGGATTTAGATCGTGTTATAATCCAAATCCCCTACTAAGACTTGTAAGCACCAATTTTCATATGTATAAAAGGGGGGCTGTGATTGGCTGTTACTTACGCGAGATTTGAACGGGACTTACATAGGCGTCGGATCAGATGTAGGTAGGGCGGAATTAAAAAAAAAAAAATCAAAATCAAAGTTAAATAATAAAATAAAAGGGCATTAATAACAAATATAATAAAAAATAAAATTAAAATAAGTTTATAGCCAAAATAATTAAAGCCCGTACACTACATCAGATTTTAATCAGATTGAAGTGCAACTTGATAGGCTCTTGATTACAAGAAGCGTGGTTGGCTCAATGAAAGGTGAAATAAAAAAAATAAGGGTTCCAGTTTTCTCGAAAACATTGATTTAGCGATTTAGATTTAGCACCCCCCAATATAGCTGAAACCCTTGTATGTCAGCAAAATTTGCCTCTCAAAATGCAGGAAATGGCGTTTAGAGGGTCTAGACTTCAAAATTGCGCAGACCCCCCTCCCCAATGCAAAATTTCGTGCCGCTGCATCTGAATTTGGTGAAAATGTGCAAAATACTTAAATTGACGTTTATGATTCAAAAAGGAGTTTGGGCGCAGTCTTCTCAGTATAAAACAGCCGACTAAAAGAACAGCGCCATCAACAACAACAAATAATGTCGTATTGTATTGTATAATGTCGGTTGTTATATACAGTGGTCTTGTTGTTCATATCTCTGAATGTCAATACCCTGAATCGCACATTTTATTGCTATACTGATACTAAACTTTCAGAATTCAGGACTATTTTTTTCATGTTCCATGATGTTTTCCTTATTGATATTCAATTCAACAGACTTGGAGGCGGCGGCACGACATTTTGCTTGGGGCGAGGTCTGCTCACCAACCTTACTAGGGGATCCGGGGACAAATTTAAAATCTAGACCCTCTGAAACGCCATTCCTGCATTTTGAGGGGAAAATTTTGCTGTCTTACAAGGGTTTCAGCTTGATTTTTTTCGAGGGGGAGGCCACCCCTCCCCCTGTGCCGCCACCACTGTTCAAGCTATATGTATTTTAGCGTGAAATAACGAAACAATACACCCCCTGTTTGAAGGTTATATTACCCTATATATAGTTGACTTCCTGGTTTCCTACGTAGTTACATTCCGCATTAGCAACCGACCGTCTTCTTCATTTGTTCTCACACTTTATCGCTTACGAGACCAAACTTTTTTATATTACTCAAGACGAGAGTGCCCAACCCAGAGACGGGGAGATTATTTTAGATGAACCTTCGATTTCCAGGTCGTGATTCGGAGGCGGAAGTTGTTGGTGTACCCTGTATACGTAGTTCATATATACACTGACATGCAAGTGGCAAAGCCAGAGCCTTCGGCGCCGGTCTCCTGGCCAACATTTGAAAACGGAGAAGACTATTATCATTATTTGAAGTGTCAGGTATTCAAAAAATATTCTACACGTACATTTATTTGTATGAGTCGGTTACTTCCTGTCTCGTTTTATTGTGTGGCAATATTTATATTGTAGCAAGACACTGAAGGAGCCTGATTATACAATATGGTTACGATAAGTCTTGAGGACTCTAACAATTATTATTGTCAAGATTCACAGTCGCCACAGTCGTACAATCTCCAGGGCCCGCAATCCATTCATGGTTGACAGAGAGAGAGAGAGAGAAGAGAGAGAGAGAGTGTGTGTGTGTCAACTATAGTTCATAGTCCATGCTGTTGCGTCGTTTAATTATATATTCTCTGTCCTGTGGTCTGAACTTAATATGGTTGGGAGACATTCCTCTGTTAAGAACTTCATCATTAACTTTTCGTACTGTTGGTTAAATGTAAATAAATTTACAAATACTGTAACAGATTTAGATAAGATTAATTTCACACACCTGGGGTATTTCGTCGTTGAGGGCGTTGATCGAGTGTAAACAGAAATCCGCCATTTTGACCTCAATTTATTAAAGAGACTGCGGTTTGACGTTCAAAACTTTCAGGACGTTTTTCCCACGTGTAATTGCAACTGTGTAGCCCAGCATATTATATTAGGGCGTATCAATTCAACTGGATGAGTACATTTTTCGCATTCCTATGAAATTACGCAATTAGAATGCTTCCCAAGAAAGATACTGGAAGATATCGTAACCTTTAGTACAATGGGAAGCACTGTGCAAGACGAATTGCTAAGAAATATAATTAAAATTCAGGGTTCCAACGACTTCTGACATAGCTTAGTGCAATTTAACATGAGGCTGCGAAGATGTATCTATGTAATTAAATGGGTTCCGTTTCATTTTGTGGAGGTGAAGCCCGCGCGCCCGGATGAAGCGTGATCTTGATCAGCAGTGTTTATTATATCGGCAAAACATTAATGATAATAATGTGAAAGCGCGGTGGTCGTCGCGCAGCGCGTGTTCGAATTTCATGTAAATAAACAATTATTTTACACGCGTTCACGAGTCACCGAGCTATTTTTCGATACACGTCGATAGGACGTGAAAGCGCGGTGGTCGTCGCGCAGCGCGTGTTCGAATTTCATGTAAATAAACAATTATTTTACACGCGTTGTATACTTCCTAATGAGTCCCATATCGAACAGGACGCGGCACGACGAATTCCGCCCTTTAATAAACCGCTATGTCCACCACTATTCATCTTGAATTTTCAAGGTGAATGTTCCGGCGAAGCACTCCACTATCACCTTGAAGTATTTCATTAGGAATATGTGTATGTGACAATGCCCTCACAGTTTAGAATCAGTTTACCAACAGCCAATCATATTGCTTCTTTCATCAACGCGTTTGGCCAAGCTATCAACATTGTCGGGGCGGAGCTAAGTCACAAGACGCTATTAAAGACGCGCACCACTCTACCATGCATTTTTATGGGCTTTGTGCGAGCTGCTCGAAAAGCCGTTGAAAACAGCTAAAATCGAAAAAACAGCACAAACTTAACTTTAAAGAAATCCTAGACAACCAAATTTAAATATGTTGCATATGCAGGGTAATCTTGTTACACGGTTCAGGGGGTGTCAACAACCATCCCAAAGTACCGTTTTCTGAGAGTTTTTGGCCTTTGTTTTCACCATGATGGTTGCCAGGCGGTGAAAATGCTCGCACAGTGGAAGCTGTGTTGGCTTGGATGTCGAGGCAATACAATATTCGGACAAAAGCCGTTCAGTTCCGAGTCTGATGTGTTCGTTTTTAGTCGCGCTGGAAATGGTAAATCATTATGTTATTATGCTTTACCAGCCTTGCGACCATCGAGCGTGGTAATAGTGTTGAGCCACTGTTGAGTATTGTAGAAGAGTAGGTGTGATACCTCAAAGCTCATGGTGTCACTGCAACATATATTGGCAGAAATGAAGCCGAAGATGAAGACATCAGAAATGGAAAGCCCTAAGCGCTTTTTGGTAGTCATTGTAACAAAGCTTTCTATTGGTCGGTAAACTTTCTATCGCGCAACCACGTGACATACACGGTTATGAATAGAATTACCGCACGGTGTTGTGGAGGGAGGAATGTTCGAACGAAGCAACACCGTGCAGGCGGACGATGCCACTATTCGGCGCAGTGTCTCACTCTGTTACCCCGAGCACGCTCTAATTGCATGTCATATCTTATTGTTATTTTAACTTTCACTTTGCAGGTACTAGAAGAGCAACGCGAATTTTTATGTAAACATTTAAGACACGATCGTTACTTCGCATATCTTCGATCGCAGCGAGTTCTGGATGCAGATATGTGTGAAGAGATTGAACTACCCCGAAAACACGCCGCTCAAGTGAATAAATTTGTGGACTGCTTAATAAATCAAGGCGGGCCCCATGCTTTTGATCATTTTATTGAGTCGCTGAAGAAACGGGGGACCGAGGGAGAGTGGTTTATTATACGCCAACTGGTGAAAGGTTTTGAGCAAGTAAAAGCCAGCTCAAAAGGTAAGATATGCCTTGTCTACACTATTTAAAAAATGTACAATTTACACTAAAAACCTGGATTTCTATTTTCAAATTACGTCATAACGTTTATTTACTGGTTGGATTCGACTACCATGATTTCAATTTATAAATATTTATAAAAACGAAAGAAATGGGTTTGGTGTGTTAATAGTAAAAACAAAACAAACAAAAAATTTTGTTTTATTATATGAAAATTGGTGGCACGCATGTTGTGACGTCAACTAAGTCGTATCATTGACGATGGATGTATGATTACACATCCGGCATCGTGATTGGTGCATTTTCATATGGTTTCCATTCATTCCAATGACAGTATCGTAACTTTTTCAATCCATGCTGCCAGTTTGAATAATCACAAATGTATTTACGTGACCCAAGAGTTGGGAAAAATCTCGCCTGTCGCGATTTGCTACTAGTATTTTATAAAGCATTCACTTATTCTAGAACTCCTGCTATAAAAACTGACCCCTTCCTGTTTTCAGCTGTACTTTTGCCGCCAAAAGATGACGACAAAGACGACGAAGATGCCCACCCACCACCAATTCCTGGTAGTCCAGGAGGGCCTATTCTACCAATACTGAGTCTGACTAACGACACAGGTACAGTAACACATTCGTCATTTGTTTGTTCACACGGCGCTGTAAGCCCGTCATACGGGATGAGCCACTCACCAGGTGAGCTGGTACAATCATCGTCCTTGTATACCAAGCAAAACCCCCGAGTAATGGTTTTTGGGGACTCTAAATAATACATACCTCAATCTAGATATAATGACATCCAACTGGAAAGAGATGGAGTATCAGCCAACATCAACATGGAAAATTGTAATACTGTAAACACAACTTTGAACAATGTCCGACCCTACACGTCCCGGCGCATTCAATCTGAACATATCAAAATGTAAATGGATCCAGTCTTTACGGTTGAGTTTTCGCGACTATGTTCCGCACTCTGCTGCAACTGAACACTTGAAATGCCTTCCACTTACTCGACTTTTATCATTTCTGCACCTGTTACAATTTCTCTTTCGAAATACGACTGCTACGTTTCTATGTTTTAAATATGTACAATTATGTTTATTAAGGTTAACAATATAATGGTAAAATTGTCTGAATGCAATATTCTGAGTTCCCACGACCATGAATATATCCCTCAATATATTTGCACATCTAGGCAAATTAACGCACGCTGTTCAAGTATTATCTTCGCAGTACTGGAAAACAAATCTCTTTTAAATTTGTTGTTACTAATTGGTAAATACGTCTTGTAGTGTAGCAGGTTTACTGGTTTTAGCCCAACAATAGCTTATTTTATGAGTAAAATCAGAAACCAAATTAACATTGAAAAATATGTTTTAACTGAAAAAAAGTTTGAAACAAAATGGAACAAAGTACTGCAAGTGATTGAAGGATACATGTCAGTCCATTTTTTAAAGTTTACTTACGTGTAGTCATTGTAAATTAAGGAAATCCAACAATTTATAAAAGAAAAGAAATGACCCCCCCCCCACACACAGACTAAGAACAACAGCCCCCATAATTGTTTTCTTTCACTTTCCTCCTTTTTTTTCTATTACTACTTCATTTTATTGTTAATTATCTTTTTTCTTTATCTTTTTGACATGTAAGATTATTTTGAAGTAATGTAATTTTTTTAAATATTATATAAATACAAAAACAAATTTAAAGTCGCACGCAAGTTATGAAAGACGTAGAAAACGCGTACATTTTTACAAAACGCGTCAATGCTAATGGCTGCTATTCGCATGTACGTGTTTATTCCAAAATACATTGAGTGATTTACGCAAAACCCCCATTCTGTTACAAGACGCGTCAACAAAATACTGTAGTACAGGATGAGACCGGGGTAGGGAGTTTGTCGGAGAAGTCCCGATTAAAGGGCGGCAGTCGTCGTGTCGCATCCTGTTCGACATGGGACTCATAGCGACGTATACAACGCGTGTAAAATACATTGTTTATTTACATGAAATTCGAACACGCGCTGCGCGACGACCACCGCACTTTAAAGTCTCGCTGTAGTGACAGTCCGACGATGAACCTGTCAGCACCTATGCTAGAATGTTTATCGTTACATTCACTTACTATCGCACACATAAAAGACTCGGCACGTCTGATCCACGACTCTGGACATTTTAACACGTTGAATATTTAAACCTGACTCCATCGCTAGTAAAAACTGCATTTGTAGTCAAAAAATATTTTTATGTCAAAATTAATTATTTTACTTTTCTCTACAAGTCACTTCGTGATGAGCGTCTTTTGCGGTCAGTAATATTTACGAACATTTTTGTTCATTGGCGATCCGCTTCGCTAGGATTGCCATTGTGTAGTTTTCTTGATTTTTTCTGCAGATATAGGTAAAATATAGGCAAGACTTTGGCGAAATTTGAAAGAGCAACTAATATTCTTCAAGCTGGTATTTTTTTATAGATTTTATTTTTCATTCTGTTCGTCTGTTTTTTCCAGTTTAAAACAATATGAGCTGACTGGAGCCTTCATCCCTTGTCTATTTCTTACACTAGATACCAGCCTATACCCCCCCCCCCCACTCATATGGACTGCGAACAGTTGATTATAGTTCCTGGGCTTCCTGTGGTAATCACAACGCAACTTTGAACTATGAATGA